ATTCTTGAAAGTAGAAAAACTGGAAATATTCAGATTTTGCAACTGAAGAAAACAGCAAAAAAAATTGTATAAAAGGAACATTAAATATAACCATTAAAGCAGAAAAATGAGTCTCATAAAAGAGCGTAAGCCAAAGAAACCTCATTATATCCCAAGACCTCCTGGAAAGCCCTTTAAATATAAGTGTTTTCAGTGCCCCTTTACTTGCAATGAGAAATCCCACCTTTTTAACCATATGAAGTATGGTCTCTGCAAAAACTCAATTACTTTAGTATCAGAGCAGGATAGAGTTATGAAGTGTCCAAAGTCCAGTTCACTGGAGCCCAAACAGATCAACCAGATAGAACCTACAGCAAAATCAGCTTTTTCTAAATCTATAACAAATGGTCTATCAAGTCTGGATTCTAAGCCTCAATATACTTTTGCAAAAGATGACGCCAAGGAAAATGTAGAATTACAAAGTAAGACAACAAATAAATCAGGTCAAGGACAAAAGCCTGTAATTCAGAAGGAATTAACTCCTGCCAGTACTTCAGTAGAAAGTGTAATCAACATGCAGCCTGTTTTGGATGGCATTATAAGGCCCTCAGCTTTCATCCCTGTAGGAGAGCACAGACATAGCAAAGGCCCAGAAACTGAGGTAGCTGAAATGATATCCCTGTCTAATTCAAACAACAAAGGCTTGCCTTTTCACGCAAAGTCTGCATTTCATGCTCCAAACCACCCATGGAAAACAGGTTCTCCGTTCCTCCCTTCAGAGTTTCCACATAAAGTTCCTCCCACAAAAGGTTTTGGTCCCATTCCACCTTATATGCATCCAATGATTCCAGACTATTCATCCCCTTGTTATGACCATGGGCTGGCTATTTATGCACCTTACTTGCTTCCAAGTAACTCAGAGTGTGAAAACTCTGTGCTGTCTGTCTATGGAACCCAAGATCAAAGACATTTTCTTCCCCATCCTGGGCCACTCCCAAAGCCAATAAACCCATCATCATATGAGCACTACCAATTACTCCCACAGTACCATTCCAGTCCCCCAATGCCATATGGATTTTGCAGACCAACAGATCTTCCATTTTATAGATTTCCACGTGTAGCTGGTATTAGTAGAGATCCAAGTTCTGATCTAATGGAAGAATCTACTTTGCTGTACCCAACTTCAAGTCCATCACAATACCAATTAAGCTCCCAGAAAAAGCAGACTGATTATGAAAAAGAAATTCCACTGCTGCATGCTAAAAACCATTCAAAAGAAGATCCAAATGAAAGAGAGAATGCCAAAATGAGCCCCCGTGCAGGGAGCGCAGCAACAGGCTCACCTGGTAGACCCAGCCCAACTAACTTCACTCAGACCAGCCATGTTTGTGAAGGTCTGTTTGACCTCTGTAATAAATCGTCTTCCACAGTAACTGGCAAATATGACCAACTGGAAGAAAATTTCTCAGCCTTCAGACTTGCGAGGAAAAGCACAGATCAATCACCTCTCCTCCAAAATGTGCAGAACCAGCAAGATAGAGGAGATTCATCTACCAGGTAATTTTTTTAAATCCTCTGCAAATTGCTTTTTCAAGATTTACTAGAGGAAAACAAAGACAACTCTATTCATATTTTAAATGTCCATGACACAGACTATCTCACCACTGTGTATATAAAAAAATTATATGCATGGTATACTTTGCATTGATACCAGCTATGGTTGCCAGATGGTTTAAGAAAAAATGCCAAAGAAAAAAGCACCACACCCCAGCGTGGCCCCCAGTATACACTAGGGTTGCCAAGATGCCTCCATGTAGAGCCGGACAGCCCGGAATTTTTGCCTCTTGGCCAGGAAAAAAAAAAATCAAAGTATCGGACATTTTAGGTGTCCAGTATTTTCTGAATTTTTTTTTTACCAGACAGGAGGCGAAAATACTTAAGTGTCCAGTTCAATACCGGACACCTGGCAATCCTACTACCAGCTCCCATAAAACTTGTAAGTACAGTGGTCACCTGATAGAGCTTGTCAGTTTTCCTTAAATATATAACTTACCTCAATAGTTCCATTACTCTCCCACTTTTCCCTATACCTAAAGAAATAGCCAGAACACTACCAAATTTGTTCTTTGCTACATTGATTTTCACATTTAAAGAATGCCCATTGTAATTAGAGCTCTGGTCAAACTTTTCTCCTCCCCCTGCCCCATCAGCAAATAAAAACCTAACAAATTATGTTTTTTTGTTTCCATTCCTTTCAGTGTTCACGTCGCTGAAGAAGATACACATATTCAGACAGAAAGTCAAGCAAAGAGTGAGGCCTCCTTGTCCAACACAGAGGAAGATACAGGGATAACGCCACTTAATCTCTCAAAGAAGCCTGACACGCACACAGGAGTTGTTCATGAACACTTGTACAAAAATGCTTCCAAAATGGAAATTCAGAATTTTACTGAATTACAAGACATGCCTCTGAACCTCTCAGTGAAAGATTCCTGCAACACCGTCAGCCTGAAAACTTCATTTCAGAGTTTGCCACATGATGCTGGAACTGCCACTACTCCAAATAATGAAAATGAAAAATCTGAAGATGTATACAACACAAAGAATTCTAACAGTGCCTTTGACAAGTCTTCCTACATGGCACAGAGTACTGAAGTCCAAGATTTAAGAGTAATTGACAATTCTGATGAACAAAAACAAACTGCAGCTGTTGCTCTTTGTCAGCTAGCTGCATATAGTCCCAGTAAAGTAAGAAAGGACAATGAAGAGCAAAATTCTCAAGACTGTAGTAGTCCACGTACAGAGCCTACCCTCATTTCTTCAGATACTCAGGGTAATCACCACAATCACAAAGCAAAAGGACAAAAAAGGACAAATCAAAAAGAATCAGCAAAATCACAGCAAGGGTCTAAAAGAGTAAGACCCAATGACTGCAGCAGAGTGTTTACTCTTAGAAAGAGAACACGAGTATCCTAATATTATTTCACTTGCTAATGTATTTCCTTTTACATCATGGAGAAACTGTCTGCTAGCTTACACAGTTTCTCCACACCAACATTTTTTGTTGGTTTGATTGATGTTTTTGTTTGGGTCATAAGAAGTTATGTAAAAACTAGCATGTAAATAGAATATGTTTATAATTTTGTACTAATGTTTTTAAGTAAATGAAATGTCCTATGTGTAAACCTTGTATTTTAATGAGTAACCTTTGGTTAGCTTAAGTTATGAATGCCAAAGTACATGAGACAGATGTTTAATATTCTTGGGAACTGCAGTATGGAAACTCTTTTACATCTGATTTTATTACAAGACTTATAAACTTAAGGAATAATATACTGATCATGTACTGTCATACCATTTTAACTTAATTTTGTTTAATGGGTCTTTTTTTTGGTTCTTAACAAATAATTTTTAATTGTACAGAAGTTTAAATTCAGCTTAAAATTCCACTTGCTTATTTAGACCTTAGTGTTAAAACGGTTTTGAATGTGAATACACCACAATGGTTGTACTGAAGAAATGTAAGGTCTTGGGTACGCACAAGCTCATATCAAGTTAATTAAACCAATTTCATTAAAATTGTTCAAATCCCTGCATAAGCACTTTTCTCTCAACTGGAAAGGCTTACTTTGGTTTAAATTAAACCTGTTCTACATCAAATTAGTCCTTCAGAAAAACACAGACATACAAAGGCCCAGAAACTCTCTCAGTTGGCTAAGAATAGGTTTAAATTTAAACCAAAATAAGCCTCTCAAATTGAAATAGAAGTGCTCACACAGGGCTTGCAACAGTTTAACTCAATCCGTTTAAATGTAAAGCTTGAATTAAACCAGCACAACTCTATGTGCAGATGACCCCTAACATTGAGGTTTTCCAAAAAGTTTAGGTGTCCAAATTCCACTGAAGTTCAATGGGATTTGGGCACTGAACACTCAGACTCCTTTGGAAATCCCATTCTAAACGCATATTTATGCCAATTTATTTCATTTGAGGAAATACTGCTGGTGAAGGTTTCAATTTCAGTAAATGTATATTACAAATTATGGAACTTAATATGCTTTTGCAGACAAACTCTTTTCTAATTCTATAATTGTATACAAGAATGTCTCATTTTTCAAATAAAGTAAATTCATTGTACTTTAATTATTAATTCCATATATTTTAATGATTAAGGAACAAATAAATTGTCTATGTTCTTATTGTTGATAAAGTGTGTTTGCACAAAAACAATCAATATCAGGTTAAACATGAATCTTTGCTTTTGAGCTAGCAGTTAACGTGAATTATGGCCTAGCATATCAGCCACCTAGTTTATTATCTTAAGATATTTTTCCTTCATTGGAAAGCTACAGGTGAATCAATCTGCATGCTATCCATCCCAACCATTTGGTAAACTGCAGGCACTCCCTAAAATCCCACAAAGACGTTATCCAGACAAGCTTTGTCAAAGGCTTAGCAAAAAACTGTACTTATGAGTCATAAATTGTGTTCGGACTTGTACAGTAGCTACACATGTAACTAGCATTAAAAAATTGAAACTGCCCAATAAGTCTGAATAAAACAAAGCAAGATCAACCATAATCCACTTTAAACCAAGTACACCTTTCACTCCAACTGATTACTTAATACAGAAGTTCCTCATTTATATAAAAGATATTCCTAATTTACATTCTTTCATGCCCAGATTTTCAAACATCAGAATACCAATTTGGGTTTGAACAGAGGAACTAAGATAGCTGAAAATGCCAATGAAATCCAACTGTCATGAATACTGGCTATTTCTGAAGAAGGTGTATGATACCTATAACGTACTTAACTGCATAATTCCTAGTGAAGGAGAGAATAGGGAGAATTTTCCCTGCCCCCAGCTGGTATTTAGTTTAATGCCTTAATGTATGAAGATAAACGAAGAGAGTTACTTTATCCTTAGTACTGTACATAAAGTTGATAGTAGAGGTTAATTTTTTTTTTTTAGTAAGACTAAGCCAATTGCACCAATAATGTACCAAGGCAGTGAGTTCCATAGATTAGCTGTACCCGGGGTATGTCTACACAACTACAGAGGCCTGGGTTTGAGCATCCACATACCAATTGTACTAACCTAAACTCAGACCTAGAGTCCCTGGATCCTGTAAGGCTGGAGGGTCCAAGCCCGTGTTAAGCTGGGACTTAAGGTCCCAAGCCCTATTGGCTTTCCTATGTGCATGCAGCCCTGGCTTGACTCAGTCCTGGAAGTCCTCCAAATGCATCCCAGAAGAAGAGCAGGGCTGCAGGTAGCCAGCACAGCAGCCAGGAGCAGAACTGCTG